CCATAGTAGTTCCTAAAATACGTAAGTTCCAAAAGATATAAAATGGACTAAACTGAGTTTGTGCTACTACAAACTCTGTGCTACTACAGAGCACACAGTCTGTACTACAGAGCACAGACTAAACTCTGGGCTACTAGAGGCCTGACCTCTCTGGGGCTGCAGTGCAAACGGAAGCCCAGACTTCATGTCCCCAGCGTCCCTTCTGATTAAAATCATGGTGTTGGTGGTGGGTCCTTAACCCGATGGGCCAGCGCCCCCTGTACTATGCCAGGTGGGATCTATCTCAGCTTGAGAGGAACATTCAAGACAAGCTGAAGAAGTGCTTCCTTCAACGCCAGCTAATAAAGCTACAAACGCCCAATTCATTGTTCTGCTGCTATTTCTCAACCTTTTTTTCCCCATTGCCCCCCTAAGAAGCCTACTTAGGCATTTCTCTCCCGACCGTCCCCCATGAAGTTGTAAACCATAGCTATGCTGTATATCTGTGAAGTACTATGACTCTTTGGGATGCCACAAACCACTGTCACACCTAATTTTTTCTCACCATCCTCTCAAGAACCAATTCTGATCCTCTTGTGGGAGATATCACCCTCACAGAGAATGTAGCTTTTAATATATAGAAAGAAACCTATTTTTGCAAATTTTCTGTACATCTAAAGTTATTCCAAAGTGTTTATTTAAAAGTTAAAGAGAGGCTTCCCTGGTGGCACAGTGGTTAAGAATCCGCCTGCCAATGCAGGGGACACGGGTTCGAGCCCTGGTCTGGGAACGAAGATCCCACATGCTGTGTAGCAACTAAGCCCGTGCGCCACAACTACTAAGCCTGCACTCTAGAGCCCGTGAGCCACAATTACCGAAGCCTGCGCACCTAGAGCCCGTGCTCCCCAACAAGAGAAGCCACCGCAATGAGAAGCCCTCGCATCACATCCAAGAGTAGCCCCCGCTCGCCGCAACTAGAGAAAGCCCACGTGCAGCAATGAAGACCCAACGCGGCCAAAAATAAGTAAAATAAATTTATATTAAAAAAATTAAATAGACCAAATATCAAATAAAAATCTTAAAGTCACAATCTAGATTAAGAAAATAAGACTCAACTATATGCTGTTTACAAGAATACACTTTGAAAAGAAATGGATACCGGGGAATTCCCCGGTGGTCCAGAGGTTAGGATTCGGTGCTTTCACTGCTGAGGGTCTGGGTTCAATCCCTGGTCGGGAAACTTAACATCCTGCAAGCCACGTGGCATGGCCAAAAAAAAAAAAAAAATTTTTTTTAAATTTAAAAATAAATAAAGAAATGGATACCAAATCAGTCAGTCTGGGGAAGTCAAGAATGAGGAGAAAGAGCAAAGAGGAACCTCGTCATGCTTGGGGTGCTTCTGTACTGTCTGACTGTAATGCAATGTAAACTGTCCATTCATTACTTGTATTAAAAGGCTGGCAAGAATCCAAATGTCCTTCAACGAGTGAATGGATAACCGCGGTCCATCCACACTGTGGACCTACTACTCCACAAAAAGAGACATTCTTGGTACACGCAGCAACCTGGATGAATCTCAAAGGCATTACGCTCAGTGGAAGAAGCCAGACTCAAAAGGCTCCACGCTGTGTGAGTTCCTGTAGCTGACATCCTGAAAAACACAGAAAACACACACTCAGGGGTCAGAGGCTGCCAAGGGCTGGGGAAAGAGTTCACTACAGAGTGGCAGCACAAGGCAACTGCTGGGAGGGAAGGAATTGTTTTGTATCCCAATTGTCATGGAAATTACACATCTGTCAAAATTCTCTGAATTCTACTCCAAAAAGTGAATACTATTAAACGTACATTAAAAAAAAAAAAAAAAGCTAAGTAAAACAGCAAAGTGAGGATATGCAAAGACCTTCCCTTCCACTCAGAACATAAATGATTTTTTAAATTTATTTCTACAATATAATAGTGCGCCTAAACAGGATAAAAATTTCTGTTGGTTAGAACAAAGCAAAAAAAAAACACAGAAGGGGCGGGGCTGAGATAACAGGCCCAAAGGATGCTCTACGCAGAAGAAAAGTCTAAGGGCCAGGGTCTTGACTCCGAAAGGCAGCGGTGCGTAGTCCCTGTACAGGGGGCTGAGGAGCAGAGGCAGCCCCAGAGCAAGACGTGAGGCCGCAGCCGCAGTCAGCTGCTCGCCCTGCAGGCGCTCACTGCCGCCACACTGGGAACGCGGGACCCTGGGGGTGCGGGTCGCAGTGCAGAGAGAATGCCAACGAGAGAATTCAAGACATAAGACGGACAGCCCCGGTGAATGGTCCACGTGAAGGACACCACGCTGCCTGTGCAGGACGTCCAACTTCACCCAGGGCCCCCTGAATGCAAGATCCAACAGCTGAACCCTTCCTTCAATGGCCTCCGGAGCTCCCATCTCCAACTGCATGAGTCAAATTCAATTCTCTTCATTTCTACCTACGAAATCCAAACCTCACCTCGTGCATTAAGTCTCTACTAGAAAAGCCAATTTCCCTCCTCTAACTGAGAGCGTGCGAAGTCTATTCCTCAGCAACCCCTACAATTTCTAATTACGCTTGCGTGCCCAGGTCCCTACCAAATCCACCTGCTTTAGAAAAGAATGTGTTCATTAACTTACTTACTCAACAAATGTTTATTAAGCACGTACGCCATCAGACACGATTTGAAGCACTGTGTGTGCGACAGCGAACAAAGCATAGCTCCTGCCCCAATGCACAAAGCGGTAAGTGCCAGACCATCAGTGCAGTGGCACAGCTCAGGGTAAGGGATGGAGCGCGTGGGCAAGTGGGCAAGGTGCTGGGTTATCCAGCAGCCTCTCTGAGGAGGGAACTGCTGAAAAGAGAACTCAGTGAGAGGCAGACCCGTGGCACGTGGGGACCTGATGTTTCAGGCAGAGCCGAGGTGTGCCCAGGCCTGAGCTGGGTGTGGCAGGAGCCAGGTGACAACGAGTGGGGTCCGGACATGAAGTCACAGGGGCAGCAGGGACCTGGGCACAAGGGGCCTCATAAACTGCCTTAAGGACTTTGGCTTTTTTTCTGAGGGAGATGAGAAACGATGCAGGGCTCTGAACAAAGCAGTGCCTCACCCGAATCTGTGCTCAGAGTCAACTGCAGAGCAGCTCAGCTCAGGTGAGCAGGGAGGAGGTCGTTGGAATAACCCAGGTGAGATGACCCGGGGGGCTTAAATGACAGCTGTAGCCAAGAAGGCAGTAAGAAGCAGTCAGGTTTGAGATCAATTTTTAAAGTGCCGACCAGTCAAACTTGGAACGTGGAAGGAACGCAGAGACCACACAAGGAGCTCTGTCCTAAGCAACAGGAAGAATGGCGCTGCCTCTGACTGAGATGCAGCAGTGTATAAGCAGGTTTCACACGTGTAAAAGTGGCTGTTTGGAAGATCCTGCCAGGAGAAACACATTCAGGGTGTGTTGACATGTGACCCAGTCGTGACACGGGATGAGATCACCCAGTGTACAGACCAGAGAGGAGGTGAGAGGACCACCTCGAGGCCTTATAATCTGTGTAAGTTAGGGAGATGAGGAGCAACCATCAAGGTAAAAGACAAATCAACAGAGTTGTGTCCCAGTGCCACCAGGGCACAGCGATTCAAGGAAGCCATGGGAGGCCCAGTCAAAGGCTGCCAACAGGGGGACTTGGCAATATGGTGTCACCTAACCCCAAGAGGAGCTGTTTCAGAGGCGAGTTGGGACCAAAAGCTTAGCTTGAACCAACGTTCAAGAGAAATGAGAAGAGGAAGTAGTGATAGGGAGCTCGCGATTCTTCCTAATTCTGGTATAAAAGGAAGCTAAGCCCTAGAAAGGGTAACGGTAGCTGGAGGGGCTGTACGTTGATGAGAATACTCTGAAGAGAAGATAAACTGAAGGCAACATAAGGATGTTAAAGCCACGGCCTGGGATAGGCAAGAAAGAGGGGATCCAACACAAGAAATTAAGTAGATGATGGTTCACTAATACTACTCCACTAACAGCAACTCCTGTAGAGGATTTCATGGCACCTGATCATGCTAACTACATGTTTTTAAAAGCACATAGAATTACACTGTACAATCCCCATTATTAAAAAAAATTACACGAATAGAACAAGGGGCCACAAAGAAACTGCTAAGTGTGCTTATATTTGGGTGGTAGAATGATTTAGAGTTTTAAGATGTATTTTTACATTTTTTTCCAACCATTCAGAGAGCATATTTATATTTCATTGGTTCCACTAAAAAAAAAATTACAAAAACCATTTTATTGCACATATCAAGTAAAAAAAAAAAATTCACCAGAAAATACAAATAAGCGAAGAGAATAAAACTCATCTATAACGCCCGGGATAATCACTACTAGCCCGCCGCTAGGTTATTCTTCTCCGACTGAGGAGGTGGCGTCTGAGCAGAGATGCGGGCGGCAGATCTCTGCGGGAACGTGTTCCGGGCGGAGGGCGCGGGCAACGCGAAGACGCCGGGGGCGACAAGCCTTAGCCAGCTGAGAGCTGCAAGTGGGCGAGGGAGGGGGGCTGGAGGCGGCCGCACGCCGCGGCGCCGCAGGGCTCCCTGGCCGACGCGTCTGACAAGTCACTCTCCCTCGGCACCTTTGCCCACACCTGCGCGGGACACCTCGCGCGAAGAAGCGAAGCCGCGCCATCCCCATGCTGCGGAGAGGGTCGGGCATCGAACCCGGACCACGAGACCAAAAGAAAGCAACAGACCTGACTTGAATCCCGCGCACAAAAAACAATGCGAGGCGCCCCGCGGCCCCACGGCCCACTCACCGGGAGGAACGGGCCGGCCCGCAGCGGGCCCGCGGCGCCCCCGGCCGCCGCCGGCCCGCCTCACGGCCGACCGGTCCCGGCGCCGAGCCCGTCCCGTCCCACAGCCAGCGCCGCGCGGGGCCTCCCTCCCCGGCGCCCCGGACCCCCGCGGCTCCAGGGGGAACCGAGGCCGGGGCGCAGGCCATAAGACCCCCGGCCCGTTGTCCCCGCCGCGCCCACACCTACCCCGGGTCTGGGCCGCGCTCCTCCACGTCGGGCTGGGGCTGGGGACCGGGCCCAGACGGCACCGTTCCGCTCGACACATCCGGGGCCCGGCCGGAGGAAGCGGCAGCGCGCCTGCTACGGCGAGCCGGAAGGGACGCGCGCCCCGCGCTCGCAGCTGCGCGTTGGCGCCCGGCGTGACGTCGGCGGAGCGGGAGGAGTGGAGACGGCGGCGAGGGCTAGACCGGCAAGGCGAGGGCGCGGGCCGATGGGCCGGCGGCGGAGCGGGCGCCGGGTTTGTGGAGAGCGGAGGTTGTCCTGGGGGCGCTGCGAGGACGAGGGCGCGGGTGTGCGCGCGCTCCTCCCGCCGCAGCGCCTATTGCGCGCCGGCTGCTGGCCTCCGGAGGAGGTCTCGGAAGCCCGCGGGGCCGCCCATCCCGGGGGGGCGGGGTCGGCTGCCGGCGCTGTGGGCGGGGCGAGGGGCGGGCAGGCGGGCTGGCCGAGCAGGAGGGAGGGTCAGCCGGAGGGCGGGGTGAGGAGGCGGTGCAGAAAGGGGGCGGGAGCCGAGGAAGTCACCACCCAGAGCCAGACAAACCGTGCGGGGAGACGGGGTGTCCACTGGTAACTGTTCCCCAGCTCAGCTTCGGCTGCTTGCTGCTCAAAGCCAATAAACGGGAAGCAAGAGTCAGGAGAAAGGAAAGGTGCTTCAATCAGAAAAGCCGGCAGTCTGGGGAGGAGGTGGACTCGCGTCCAGAGATCAACGAGGTTTCTGCTCAGCCATGACAGTTTTTAAAGGGAAAAACGGGGGAGAATCTCAGGCAGTCATCGAGGCAGGAGGGTGGGCTCTGCGTCCTTCTCCATTATGTGCACACTGCCTGACTCTTCAGATGTTATCTTGCCTCAGTGATCTGCCTGCAGGATTGCTAAGGGGGCTGCTGGGGGCAGAGAGCTGGTCATTTTTTAACTGCTTAATTCTTCATTCTGACTTCTTTTAATCTAGGGAAAGAATCAACAGGTTAGGCAAGGCATGTGTGCATTCAGGAGAGCATTAGTCAGGAATTAGGTTAAATTGCCTAGTGGTCTCATTCCTATAATTAGGTTCTTTTAAGGTTAGAGGGGAACAGAAATGGGCAAACAAGAAAGGGGCAAAGGAGCTGCTTTCATAAAGAATGGAGTTGGACCACAGCCTCACACTATATGCAAAAGTGAACTCAAAATGGATTAAAGGCCTAAACGTAAGTGCTAAAATTACAGAACTCGCAGAAGGAAACACAGATGCAAATCTTCAGGTTCTTGGATTAGGCAGTGGTTTCTTATGCCACCAAAAACAGAAGTAACAACATAAAAAATAGGTTGGACATCATCAGAATTAAAAACTTGTGCTTCAGATGACATCATTAAGAAAAGACAACCCAGAGATTGAGAGAAAATAGCTGCAAATCATATACCTGATAAGGGACTTGTATCCAGAATAAAGGACTTGCAACTGAAGAGTTAAAAGGCTAATAATTTTAAAATGGGCAAAGGGATGGATTAACAACAAGGTCCTACTGTATACCACAGGGAACTGTGTTCAGTGTCCTGTGACAAACCATCATGGAAAAGAATATGAAAAAGTATATATATGTATATGTGTATAACTGAGTCACTTTGCTGTACAGAAGAAATTAACACAACATTGTAAATCAACTATACTTCAGTTAAAAAAATTTTTTTAAATGGGCAAAGGACTTGCATATATGCCTCAAAAGAGGATGTACAAATAGGCCCATGAAAAGGTATTCAACGTCATTAGGGATCAGGGAAATATAAACCAAAACCACTAGGATGGATTGAATCAAAAAGTCAGGTAGGGCTTCCCTGGTGGCGCAGTGGTTAAGAATCCGCCTGCCAATGCAGGGGACACGGGTTCGAGCCCTGGTCCGGGAAGATCCCACATGCCGCAGAGCAGTTGAGCCCATGCACCACAGCTACTGAGCCTGCTCTCTAGAGCCCGTGAGCCACAACAACTGAGGCCGCATGCTGCAACTACTGAAGCCCACGTGCCTAGAGCCCATGCTCCGCAACAAGAGAAGCCACTGCAATGAGAAGCCCGCGCAGTGCGATGAAGAGTAGCCCCGAGCTTCCCTGGTGGCGCAGTGGTTGAGAGTCCACCTGCCAGGGGAGACATGGGTTCGTGCCCCGGTCTGGGAAGATACCACATGCCGCGGAGCGGCTGGGCCCGTGAGCCATGGCCGCTGAGCCTGCGCGTCCGGAGCCTGTGCTCCGCAACTGGAGAGGCCACAGAAGAGAGAGGCCCGCCTAACCAAAAAAAAAAAAAAAAAAAAAAAAAAAAAGTGTAGCCCCAGCTCGCCAAAACTAGAGAAAGCCCGCGTGCAGCAACGCAGACCCGAGGCAGCCAAAAATAAATTAATTAAATTTTAAAAAGACATTGTTTAAAAAAAAAAAAAGGTAACTGCATCTTTATCTTGGATAGCTCTGAATGAGCCTGTGTGAGCCCCAAATGTAATCGCAAGTGGGAGGTTGAGGGAGATTTGACTCCAGAAGAAGTAGGAGAGGAGATGAGAGAAGCAAGAGGCTGGACAGGTACGACTGCTGGCTGTGGGCTGTGAGGCAAGGAATGTGTGCAGAAGCGGAAAAGGACAAGGAGATGAATTCTCCCCTGGAGCCTCCTGCCAGCACCATGATTTTAGCTGCATGAGCCCCATTTTGGACTTCTGGCCTGCATGACTCCAAGCTAATAAATCTGCGTTGTTTCAAGCCAAAAAAAAAAAAAGGTAACAAGAAGTGCACAAGCCTATGGCGAAATCGGAAACCTCATACACTGCTGGCGGGAATTGAAAGTGATGCAGCCTCTTGAAAAAAATGGTTCGGCAGTTCCACAAAAGAGTTGTTAGGAGTTAACATATGACCCAGGAATTCCACTCCTAAGTATATACCCCAGAGAATTAAAAACACACAGCCACATGGAAGTGTGTATGAAAATATTCTTAGCAGCATTACTCATAATTCCCAAGAAATGTAAACAACCCAAACGTCCATCAACTGATAAATAAACGAAATGTGGCGCATCCATAGAATGGAATGTTATCCAGCAGAACAAAGGAGGACGAAATATCGGCACATGCTACAGCATAGATGAACCTTGAAAAAAGCATTACACTACGTGAAAGAAGCCAGACACGGAAGGCCACGTATCACATGATCCCATTTATATCAAATGTACAGAACAGGCAAATCCATAGAGATGGAAAGTAGATGCTGGTTTCCAGGGGCTGGAGGGAGGGGACTGGGACAGCAGCTGGATGCAGGGTTTCCTTTCAAGGTTGATGAAAAAGGTGAAATTAGGTAGTGCTGGTGGTTGCAGAACTTTGCGGATTTACTATACACCGCTGGGTTGTGCACTTTGAGAGGACGAGTTTCGTGGTACGTGAATTATATCTCAATCAGAAATCCATCTTAAAAAAAGAAATGCAGGCTAAAGTGATCAACTGCTCAGCAAAATGCAGACGCAAGTATCCTCTCTGATGTTTAACACACAAAAAATTCTAAAGAGAAAGTAAAACTTGACCATAAAAGGGAGACAGGAGAGGGACATGAAAGGGATCAAATTAGTTGGATGAAAGAGGGGAGTGATTTCATGTTTCTAAGTACTGGTAGGGAGGCCCTTTCAATCTTCACTCCACCCTCCTACTTAGCAACGTTGGAAAGTTAAAAACTACACCTGCCAGACTCCTTGGAGGCCCGAGCCCCAGCCAAGACGTGGGCCCCTCCCGCTTGCTGCCTCTGTGCGTGACTGGGGGCGGCGGGGAGGTGCCCTCCTTCCTGCTGCTCCTGGCTGCACTTGCTGATGGATATGAGTTGACAAATTTGAGTCTCTCCTGTAAGGGACGTCCGGTGGTGGGTGGCTTCTTGACCGGAATCCCTGACCCTGGACGCAGCTCTGGGCCTGCCAGAATGCATCTCCAAGTGTGGGGCTATTGGGGGTCCTGGGGCCTCCCATCCCTCTCGGCTCCAGAGGCAGCATCAGCAACTGGAGGTGCCTTGGGGGGGGGTCAGTTCTGTCTTGTTTTGGGAGTCATTCCAGGAGACCCAGTCCAAACCAGGTTATCAGGCCCCTCCAACAATGCACAAGCCCCACACGTCCTGTGGAAAACGTCTGCCCAACTCAATCTGCAGAGTGGCTTCCGTTTCCAGAAGGAGCCTGTAACGTTTTCCCTCTTAGACCCTCTCAAACTGCAGCTTCAATACACACAGATCAAAACTGCTTAGATGTAAGCTTTAAAAACTGTGAACCGCTATATTGTATACCTGCAACTTATAGAATATTGTAAACCAACTACACTTCAATTAAAAAAATAAAAAGCTTAAATGATTTTCCCACTGTTTTCTTGGATGGTTGATTCCTGTGCACATCTTACATGCTGGCCGATGTGGGAATCTGCGGGGCAGCCGGGGAAGGCTGGCATGATGGGCCGCCAAGCTCCTCCCTCAGCCAGGAGGGCTGGGGCCGGGAAAGGAGGTGCCAGCTCAGGCTCTGCTTGCCCTCCGGCATCGGGGGGATACAGAGCTTTTGTTTTTGTTTTTCAATTTATTTTATTTATTTATTTTTGGCTGTGTTGGGTCTTCGTTTGAGCAGGGGCTACTCTTCGTTGAGGTGTGTGGGCTTCTCATTATGGTGGCTTCTCTTGTTGCGCAGCACGGGCTCTAGAGCACAGGCTTCAGTAGTTGCGGCGCACGGGCTTAGTTGCTCCGCAGCATGTGAGATCTTCCCAGACCAGGGCTCGAACCCGTGTGCCCTGCATTGGCAGGTGGATTCTTAACCGCTGCGCCACCAGGGGAGCCCTGCTTTTCTGTTTAAATCAGCCAGACTGAGTCTCAGTTGCTGACAACTGAGACCCCGACTATGCAGGCCCCTGACTCTAACTTTTTCCTGAGTGTGCTTCCCCACTCAGGGAAGGGGCACGAGACCCAAAAGAAGGCCGGCCCCAAGATCAGGTTTGCTCCCTGATGTTGTGGAGAGTGGGGGAACAGGCACAGCCATATGATACTGGCAGGGATGCAAGGAAACACTTCTACGGTGGACAGGGGCTGTCAGAATTAGGTAGGCATTAGAAACCTGCCAGACCGCCGAGTCTGCATCTAGGGATGCTCACACGTGGACAAGGATGTATAGGGATGGTCGTTGTGTGCAAAATCACAGGCTGGACACATGTCCACCAGCAGGCTGAGTGGCATGGACTGCGTACACTGTGGGCCACCAGCAAGAACGACACAGACTTTTGTGATGGCAAAGACGCCACCGTCTGTGTGAAGACAAGGGTCAAACACGCTCATA